CGAAAAGAATTTATCTAAACTCAACATGAAATTTCTGACAACTACATCTAAAACACTCAAAGACTTAATCAATAAAAAACAAAACAACCAGCCAAAACTTGAAGGAGGAATTGTTAGAATGAATACATTGGAGAAACCTCAACACGACACTATATGAACACAAAGGGGACATTTTAAATAACAACACACAAAACGCATTGGTTGTTCACCGTAACAAAACTGACCCTAATTTTGACATAGGGAATGCTACTTTGATTAAAAGAGAAAATAATCCACTGAGACAAAAATGTCTGGAAAGTGCCTTGATCGCTAGTTCAGCCACAATAAATTTGCGTCCAGGCTCTTACAATATATCTTTTCTCGTTCTTTCTCGCCTTCTCTCGTTATTTCTCGTCTTCTCTCGTTATCTGTCACCTTCTATCGTTATTTCTCGTCCTCTCTCGTTATTTTTTGTGCTAAAAATTGGCAACTGCCTCTGATGTTAAATAAAAGTGTCTATTTTTCTTTCTATTTTTTCTTTTTACTTCCTCGTTGATTACCTACAACATCGATGATATTCTCAGCATGTTTCTGTGAGAACCACATCTGTGTTGCCTCAAGAGTCTCCTATTAATTTGCTAGAAAGTTGTCCAGCAATTTATAGCTATATAAAAACACTGATATTACATGCGTTGATTAGTTTAGAGAAGGAATCCTTTGTCCCGATGCGCCTTCGGTTTACGCTGTCATATATTCCGTCATCTGTCAAAACATTTTACAGATATTTAAGCTGTTGCACTTGCTCGATTTGACGACACTAATTCGTAGCTCGCATCTTGAGCTGTTCTTCTTGTTAATGTTTTGCTTTCATTGGGGAATCAATTTACAATGAATTTACACAGAAAATTGAAACCCGCCTCTTAAAATTTAAAAATTAAAAAAAAATGTTATCTATGACTGTTGACCATGTTTGCCGTAGTCTCTGAATATGGAATCCAGTGAAGTCCGTAATGTGTTCAATATCAGAGGTTGGCAGTGAAGATTCAGAGAAAGTAGCGGCTGTTAAGTAATTCTTTAAGTCTTCGATATCAGGTTGGCAGTGAAGATATTTTGGGAGAAAAAAAAACCCCAAAATGGCTGCCTTTATACACGTCGCATTGAATATTTTGAACGTTCTGATTGGTTAACCCTTCTATTGGTGAATAATAAAATGAGTCAACTCATTTTGGCTAGCTCACTAGTACACACATATATCCAAAAAACTGTAACAATGGCCACCTGTAGTGCTTATTCAATATTAATGTAAAAAAAAAAAATAATAATAATAAAAAATGATTAGATTTCTTTGAGAGGCGAATTTCTGTATATATACCAAATATTTACTAATCTAAACTTTCAAGACAACTATGCCAGTATTGCATCCACAATATCAAAACAAGATAATATTAACAAAGAACGGTTGAAGATATAATTCTAAAGGCCAGGCAATTCCAGATAACCTTACTAGTATATTAAATTATTGCTTAGTTATTGTTGCTTAATTTTTTAAAATAAAAACAAAAAGGACATTTTAATTCGCCAGCTGCTCTCTGAACTCTTTCATTTGATCAAAAACATAGCACCATTGCTGAATAATAGTAACCCCAAATTAATTTCGAAATTCTTCTCGCTTACTACTTTGTATAATAGTTCCTACAATTTTCTTTGTGTGTCTGCAATGAACACAGTGATATATATATTATGTTTTTAATGCTGTGCTCAAGGAAAGTAAAATGGCAATATGAAATTTAAGTACAAAGGTTTGTCATTGCTGTTATGAAATTATTTCCTGAAACCTGTGGAAATATTGCTCTTTTTGGTAAGATAAAATTCGACGAAGACACGTTTATCAACAGTTTTACAAGTCAAAATGTATATGATTCGAAAAGTTTTTTCTAAATTTAAATTCGACATTCTGACAGCAGAAGAATTCTTTTAAATCCAAGTCCACATCTTTGCGTTGGCTGAAAGAAAAAAAAAATCTTTCGATAGCTGATTTATATTTCAATCAGACTATTTAATTATTTTTTTTTTAAATCTTGAAAAGTTCAACTACTTGAACTCGACTGACAGCTGGAAAAGAGCTGAAGAAAAAAAAAATGAATGTAAAAAGAAATGTGACAAAAACTGCTTAAATACATTTTCCATATCCTGCGTGTGTCATGAGATTTTTTGTTGTTGTTTCGACAACCATCAATTCTGTGTTAACCGCCATCAACATCGCCAACTTCATCATTATCTCAAAGATGATTCCTGTCACAATCATTAATATCATCACTATTATCATTCATAGGGTAAAAAGAATGATCGCTTAACAGTTGTCATAAATTCCTATCACGATTATTTCCCCCCTCTCTTTGATAAGCATACCCTTCATCTCTACCTTAATCACATCTATTCCTACCACTACGCAAATAATCACATCTACTCCTACCACTACGCAAATACTACACTGTCATGTCCGCTACTAGAGCTGCTACGACGACGATTGTCGCAAATACTAGCAGCATCCTAATCTAAATGATTACAACTTCGATGACTAACCCAAACTACTTGCGCTATTAATATCACACAGTTGTTCATTAGAAATAATTGCGTCTATATCTCTGAGATGAGGTATTATGATTTCTTACATTATTTACATTATTCGGACTGTTATCCTCATCTTCATTGCCATATTCACAACGTTTCGGCCTTTAGGTCAGTGTCTCTCTATATATATCTGCCTATATATCTGACAAGAGATATTATGATTACTTGCATTATTTACATTATTCGGACTGTTATCCTCATCTTCATTGCCATATACACAAAGTTTCGGCCGTTGTACGGTCCAGCCTTCTTCAGGTGATTGAAATTTTTCTTCAATATCTTTCTATATCTCGGAGATGATGTATTATGATTACTTACATTATTATATTTATCGGACTGTTATCCCCATCTTCATTGTCATATTCACAACGTTTCGGTCGTTGTACGCTCCGGCCTTCTTCAGGTGATTGAAATTTTCTTCAGTATCTTTCTATATCTCGGAGATGATGTATTATGGTTACTTATATTATTATATTATCCGGACTGTTATCCCCATCTTCATTCCCATATTCATAACGTTTTGGTTGTTGTACGCTCCGGCCTTCTTCAGGTGATCGAAATTTCGAACCGAACCCTTTATCTCGTCCACCGGCCCAGTGGATAAAGATGTTGGTTAGATCCATTGACTAGACCCAAAGAGTTATGAGTTCAATACCAGGCTGCGGCAGTAGTGAGTCAAGACTTGGTGAATTGAGGTAAAGGGAAATAACTGAGACATCCGGAAGAGGTATGGCACGTGGAATTGGAACAATCAACCCCGGTGGATGAGATAAAGTGTTCGGTTCGAAATTCTAATCATCTAAAGAAGACCGGGGCGTACAACAGCCGAAACGATGTGAATATGGCAATGAAGACGAGGATAACAGTCCGAATAATGTAAATAATGCAAGTAATCATAATACCCCATGTCAGAGATATAGACAGATATATAGAGAGACACAGACCTAAAGGCCGAAACGTTTTGAATATGGCAATGAATATGAGGATAACAGTCCGAATAATGTAAATAATGCAAGTAATCATAATACCTCATCTCAGAGATATAGACAGATATATAGAGAGACACAGGCCTAAAGGCCGAAACGTTGTGAATATGGCAATGAAGATGAGGATAACAGTCCGAATAATGTAAATAATGTAAGTGAAATAATAGCGGTTATCATTAAACCTAATATCAGCATCATTACTAAAACCTCTATATTATGAGCATGTTAAACGATCATATATATCTAAAGTGTCGAAAATGAATTCAACTGAAAAGACCAGCTTAGGGATAGGTGTAGAATGACTGGGTTGCCTTTGAGGCCCTCTCCGCTAGGGTCAGGTAACCACAGTAATAACAGACAGGAACAGCAATAACAATTTGTTTCACTGTCGGCTAAAAGGCTGGTGAGTATGAGGTAAAGGGATTTTTATAACATATCTCTGCCCTCACCTCTTCCTCCAATTCAAATAGAAGGCTATTAAAGCAGAGAAGAAATGGCGTTCGCGCCTTAGGATTCCCCAGTCGACATCGCCGCTCCAATCTCGTAAGTCTATTCGTCATTATTTCCGATAAAAGAAAGTGTTAATCCTTTCCAAAGATTCAAAATTTGCATAGACCAGGTTATAGACAGCTTCTTACTTCGTCTTTATTTCCAAGACAAACGCCCTGTTGCGGAGAATCAGCAACAGTCTAAATCAAAATAGTGTTCACATATAGACGCTTATAGTTTTTTCAAAAGTATATCTACAAGTATTAGGTTGGTGCAAAAATAATGACGTAAGAATGTCGTTTTTTGACGTAGAAAAGTACGTCAAAAAACGACATTATTACGTCATTTTTTTTGCACCAACCTAATACATAGGTTTGTCTATCGCCCTTTTCACACCCACCCTGGTTTTTTTGAACAGGAGTAGAGATATATCTCTTTTTTCCTGTTTAGGATTGGGTTTCCGATTCGTTTTTCATTCTCTTTCTACCCCCCCCCCCCCAGTAGATCCTTGTATCTCAGGAGCATTATTCATTTGCTTGGGTTGAATTGAGAAATAAAATAACAAAAAATATTGGAATGATGTAGGAAACAGTATTTTTTGTCTCTTGTATTTTTACGCTCCTTACTTTATGGCACCAATACTACAACTAGGATTTGGCCATAAATACTTTTGACACAGCAGTCATTGTAATCCTTAATAATTACAAAATCCTACTTACGCAAATGTCTAGATCGCCTGAAATTTGATCCTGCACAAAATTTGACTGAGAAGAAGTTACTAACATAAGCATATTCTGGCACAAGGCGATAGAAAGGGAGCATTTCCTGAGAAACGATCTTACTACACTGATGAATTAGCCTTCGAGAAATTCACTAACCATCATTTTACAGCATGTGGCCTTTTTACTTGAGGCTTACGGCCGCATCACGTTGAAACATCAGTTCCCGTACGATCATCGAAGTTAAGCAACGTTGAGACCGGTCACTACCTAGATGGGTGACCGCTTTGGAATAACAGGTGCTGTAAGTTTGGTGATGCGGGGGCGGGGTTCTAATGGATAATGGATCGGAGTTGTCAATCAGAGAACAGAGTTCCAATTCCTGTTTGCGTCGGGTTTATTCACTTGCGCGCAAATATCTTTGGGAAATGCATAGATCCACCTCTTCTTCCCTAGCTATGGGTTAATTAGTAGCACTTGTATCACTAAACCATTATAATCTCTTAAAAAATTCTTACAATCTAAAACTATTTTCTGGCCTTAAATAACCTGAAAAAATTTGATAAGCACTAAAAAACGAATTAATAAAGTTTTGGCTTAAGATTTTTTATAAATTTAATTTCAATGGGTCCAGTGTCTGTTATTATCAACAACATTCAGAATAATCTCTCTTCCGTGTTCTTTAAAATTGGCAGCTCTAGTTATCTCTGTTATTCTCTTGCTCCATCAACGAACAGCATACAATGAATAATAAAGTTCTTGTGGCGTAATGGATAGCGGCTCGGACTGAGAAAT